AGGATCTGGGGGAAGCCCAGCTTCTCAAAGGTGTTCCTCTTCCAGTGCTTGTTCTCCTGCTGCGCCAAGGCCTCGTCCTCGCTGAAGGCTCGCACCACCGGACCCGGCATGGGTAAAGGGAGAGCACCGTCGCTCTCGTAGCCCGAACCGTCCTTTTGGGAATCCCAGCTGCTCCGTTGCTTCATATGGTAGTGGGCTTGCTGGGCTTCCCACGCCAGGCGCGCCTGCGCAAGGAAGGGCTCGGGGAAGCCCCGCGCCGCCTCCGCCTCCGCCGCCTTGCTCTCCGTACGGTTCATCGGTGACCGGTTGGATCCCGGGGTGGCTCGTTCCTCACCCAGCTCACCCAACACCTCCCGGTCCCCTGAGCCGTCCGTGGAGGAGGCGTTGGGGTCGTGCGATAGGGAAGGCTTTCGGCTTTTCCTCTTTCTGGTGGAGGGCGAGTAGCCGGTAGAGGACAAGGTGTCCTGTTGGCTGGACCATGACATGGAGTCCTCGCCCTGGGCCACCTGACCACCCGCTGGGCCAGGGCAGAAGTCAGGTCCCTCCATGCTGCTGTAGTCACCCGATTTGATCTCCAAGCGTTGGTCCCGGACCAGGCAAGGGCTGTGCTGCAGCGAGTAGGAGCCGCCGATGGGGTTGGGGGAATATTTGTGCCTCAACCCCGTCTTCATCTTGGGGCTGGAACCCGACTGCTCGACGTAGACCAGTTGCCTGACGTACTCCTTGCCGGCGGGGCTGTACTCCAGGCTCATGAACCGGTCGGGACACTTTTGTTTGGTGAGCACCAACTGCTGGTAGGGCGAGTTGGAGCCTTGTTTGGGCGACTGCAGGAAGGGGTGAGGTTTACGGATGGGCGATTTCTGCGGCGAGCCGGCTTTGTAGCTCCCGCTGGCTTCGTACTGCATGTCCACGGGGGGTTCGTCGTAGATGGGAGCCTGGTACTCCATGGGGGGTTCCTCGTAGAGGGGGGGCTCGTAAGCGTAGCGGGGCGAAGAGGGTTGCGACTCGCTGGAGTGCTTGCGGTGCTGGGCTTGGAGCGAGGAGCAGAAGGAGTCCCCCCGGCCGAGCAGCGGCGAGCAGCTGCCCACATGCTCGGCCCTCTTCAGGAAGGGCGACTGCTTCCTCTCCGGGAAGAAAACGGAGTTGTCGGCGTCGGGGGCGAAGGTCTGGAGGTTGGGCGACTGTTGGCCCCCTGAGGGTCGTCGCGAACGGGTGCCCGGTTGGTTTTCGGGCGTGTAGCCGTTGCCTTGGTGCATGAGGAAGCTGGGCTCGCGGTCGGTCACCTTGATCAGCATCCGCTCTTTGGTGCCGGCGTTCCATCGCAGGGACGACGTCCTGCGGGGAGAAGGAGTGCAGCCGTCAGCGAGCGAAGCCCCCTGTGCCCACAGGGGGAACAGACACCCCTCCACTGCTGCCCCAGCCCCCTCCAGACTGTTGGAGCAAATCCCAAAGGATGGACGTGCCCCAGGACTCCCATCAGGAGGAGGGCATGTTGGTGACGGAGAGAGCAGGGCATTGCCACCGTCCCAAACCCAATGACAACATCCCACCGACCTCCCTGGCCCGTGCAGACCTCAGCGACCCCCAGGGTGCACAAAGAATGGAAAAGCTGAGCCCCGAAAAGCGATGACACCCCTTGGAGCGCATCTCTGGGAGTCAGCCCCGAATCAGCCCTCCCCGCTCGGGCCGTGGCGCTTCATGGAGCCGAATGGCGACGCAGAAAGGAGCAAGGCCACCCGCTGGGGACAAGCCTTGGGACAAATCTACATTTGGGACGGTTTCCTGGGTGTTTGGGTGTGTAGTCATTGCAGGGATTGGGGACCGAGCCGTGGGACCGTGGTGGGATCTCCCATCCCAGGGTGAGAAGAAGGTGCCTACGCAGAGCCCCATCTCTCCCCGCTCTTCTTCCTTTCCATTCCTCGCAGTGCCCGGAATTAACCCATCTCACCCCCTCCACCCATCCCCCTGCCCGGGATTAACACCCTCCCCCGGTTCCCAGCTGGAGACGGGTTACGTTAAAAACCAGGGAAATTTAGTAATCCCAAGCATCGTTTAAAAAGAAGTTGAAGGCAAAAACCTTGAGAGGTTTTTGAGGAGATGCCCCAGCCCCATGAAACGCTAACTCCCCACTGCCTTGTACCCCAGGATACTTCCGGCAGCACCGAAGCGGAGTACCGATACGCCTGGGACAGGGATAAGGATAACTTTGTCAACTGCCTAAATCCAGACGATGCACGGACACCTCGCTCTCCAAAGGGATGGAGCACGAGCACCGCGGGAGGTGAGAGCAGCAGCTGCCCTCCATCCCCTTCACCACTGACAGCAATCCCAGGGCCAGCCCCAGACGGGATGAGCATCTCCGCAGGGCCGTGAGGATGCACAGGATGCGCACGGAGAAGGGAGCAAGAGCTGGAGCAGAAGCTCGCTGCATCCCTCAGCCCCTTGGCACCCCGTGTGATGATGCCCTGCACGGTTCCCCTTTCACCGTGGAGCATCCGACAGCTTCTCGCTGCTGTGTGACGTGCGGAGACCGTACCCACGCCCCAAACCTGCGTGGCGTCGGGCTGGAGACTGCACCCACGCCCCAAACCTGAGTGGCGTCGGGCTGGAGACTGCCTCGTGGGGTCTGTTTTGGGACAGACAACATGCACGGGCGAGCAGGCACCAAGGGGGACCTTCCTAGTTCTGAGATCATAGAATCACGGAATGGT